CTTATATGCAAAATTTAATACTATATTATTGAATTTTATAATTCATTATTAATATTGTTTAATAATTTCTTATATTTCTATATTATCTAAATTGAAATAAATGATCATGAATATTGTAAATGTAAGAAGAAACATTGACTAAAATAATGCTTTGCAAGCAAATCACGTGAACGCTATCGGTTCCTATAAAACTACCAAAATGAGCCGGAATTGCCTCTTGACAAAAATTTTACAAGGCCATACTGATATTAATGAATAATAAAAGAGTATATAAGCGGATAAAAGCAAAATTTGTATTCCAACTGAGGACATCCATTTTAACTGCAACTGACTTTTATAGAAATGAAAAATTTTATCTTTATTTTGCGATATATTTCACAATATTTATAAGTTTCTTCTATTATTCGAAATCATTAATTTTTACTTAAAACCTATTGGGTTAATTTTGTCTTTTCTTTTTTTCTTAAAGATGTTATTCCATTTCTCGATGAATAATTATTTATGAAATGGATGAATACATTAATGTTGGGAATATATGATATAATATTTTTTTTAATGTAAAATAATGAAAGAAAGAAAGATATTTAAATATCTATAAAAAGACAGAAAGATATTTTTAAAAAATAATAAAAATTAAGAATTATTTTATTAATCTCTATCATAATATAATTTATTTTCTATAATTAATTATTTTTCTTACTTATTTTATTTATATTAATTATATTTATTTTATTAATTTCATTTATTTATTATTCATATCTTATGTTAATAACTGCGCTTTATACAATTTGTCATAAATTAAAATTATATGTAATTTGATTTCTATAAACTTACCATTTGAGGCATCCAGCAGATAACGAATGATATCGATAGTACAGCCATAAGTCTTGCAAATGCTCTTTCTTCAGTCGTTGCAACAACTTCCGATTGATTTGGCGGTCCAGCTATGGTCAATAATGGCTTTGTCTTTGACGTAGCTCTGCAGATTCTCCTAAGAGCACCTGTTCGACGACTTAATCTACTCAAAGCTCTAGAAACTGCCAAATTACACCAAACAATGGATAAACATAAAAGTGTACCTATAATAAAAAAAATTTTTAATTAAAAAAAAGTACTTAGTGATTAAAAAATTTTTTTATATTTAAATTTTTAGTAAAATAGGAATTTATATTTATATTAATTATGTAAATGTTGATGTGTTTATATCACAATTAATGAAAGAAAAAAATATATAAAGCAAATGTTATTATATTTTTTGAATTATCAATAATTCTTTTTTTCTTTTACTTATTATGCTAATCTACTCACCGAAAATAAACCATACATAAGCATAAGCGATATCGCTTGGCTCGGTGGCCTCTCTATAACGGATGCATTGTTCATCTTTGTAGTATAATCCGAAGCCCATAACCGGAAGACTTGTCATCGCCAACGCGACCAACCAAAGTCCCAACATACAACGCACAATTACCGGATACGTTACCTGCTGGAAGATACATGCGTGTCATCTATTAAGACATCGAGACAAGATGATGCTAATATTAACTTTTTGCTAAAATTTCGATTCGCGATTATTATAAATTAAAAAGAAAAAATAAAGAATCAATTCGACAAAATGTTATATTAAAAGATTAGATTTGATGCTTTATATATTTGCTCAAGATTTGTTTTAACATGTATCTTCCTTTAACCACTAACATCTTTAAAAAGAAAGTTACTAGCTTTGAAATTCCCAAGAGAGATTATTAAGACGTTAAATTTATTATTTTCCAATACTCGTGTAAATCATTCTCATTTCTTCTTCTACGTAATATAATCTCGTTCTGAATTATAATATTTATATTGCTTACTCTTTCTAAAGGTTTAAAAAAAAAATAAAAAAAAATCAGTTTTATAATTATTACAAAAGTATAATTTGTTTAATTTTATCAATATATATTATTATGTTATTTTCATGATAATCAGGTAATATAAGAATGTGACTAATATTTATTGCCTACAATTTTGTTAATTAGAT